CCTGCCATTGAAAGGATCCTATTAAGTAAGTGTTCACTATAGTGAAAAAGCATTCTAGAGATCACTGCAATTTGTGTTTTTCAAAGAGAAAAGTTAACCATGTTTCTGTAACTCTTTTCTGCCACTCCGTTTTGTTTTGTCTTGATCAAATTTCCTCATAATTATTGACAGCTGGACTTAGAAAGAATAACTGAGGATTCTACAGGGGTTGACAGGTGGTAATTACTGAACTTGTAATGTTATATGCTAGACATGTTTGCTTCTGTCATTTCCTTCATGGTAAATCACCTTGAAATCTTCATGGCTCTTTAGGCTGCAAGTGCATCAAGCTATGGCTAATCTTACAGCCAGTGCCAGGAAGATGGGATGAGCCAAGTATAGAAGCTGAGAGAGCTCTGAACCTATTAAAGTCATCCTTCTGGAAAGAAAAACATCCTGGTACAGGGAAGAGAGACATAAGGAGGCTTTTCTGCTGAGTTGGCTTCTGACACATTTGGTGGTGTTGTAAGTTGTTTGTTACCTGACAAGTGAGTCTGGTAGTATGGGTCTATGTAATGACCCAACCTTGCTTCTGAACAAGCAAATAATATAGAAGTTCCAGCCTGTGTGTGTCATGTGTGAGTATTCTAGGCTAAATGTCAGAAACTGATACTGTAGTGATGATAGTAATAACAGGAAATCTACAGCAGCAGCTGCTGTTTAGACAACATGGGTTAGAGGCATAGTTAATACTGGGCATTTATCCTGTATTCAGAAGACTGTGAAGTTAAATAAAATAAAATGAAATAAAGTAAAACAACAACCTTAAACTCCAGGACCGTTCTCCTGAATTGTTTTATTTTAAAACATTTAATGTTTCTGAAAAAAATAGTAGGTTTATATGACATTTTTACCATGTGGTCAGTGTAGAAAACTACTTTTTCATTCTTACATCTCTTTGCCATCCTTGCATTTGGTATAGAAGTCACTAGAAAGTTGTTCAATTAGGAGATATTCATTTGGCATTTGTATAATAACTTCATAGAGATGTATATAATTATAAAGCATCTGCAAATTATGTATGTATATTGATGCTTTAATCATTTCTAAATAACCTCAGCAACCATGTCAGCATGACTAGAAGGTGTAGTAATAAAGGTTTAGCATTGTGGTTTGTGGTTCCTCATGTTATAGAGAAATATTCCTCAGCAATAGAGAAATAATATTTAAAATATACACAAGGAGAATCTCTTGTGTGAAAAAAATTGGCAAACTCCATATGCACATAAATTGCACTCAAGTTTGAAAAACAATCCTAACAGATTCTAATACCAAAACAAGATAAGCAATGGGACAATCATCCATTTCTGGTGCAAACTTGTACAGTCATTTTAGAGATCAGTATGGTGGTCCCTCAGGAAAATGGAAATCAGTCTACCATAAGACCCAGCAATTCACTCTAGGCATATACCCAAATGATCTACATCCATGCAACAAAGACATCTGTTCAAATATGTTCATAACAGCATTATTTGTAATAACAAGAAGCTGGACGCAACCTAAATGCCCCTCAACTGAAGAATGGCTAAAGAAAATGTGGAACATTTTACAATGGAATACTACTCAGTGGGGGGGGGCGGGAAACAATGGAATCTTGAATTTGTCAGGCACATGATTGGAACTTGAAGAAACCATCCTGAGGGAGGTAACCCAGTCATAAATAAAGAGGAACTTGGTTTGTACTCACTCATTTATGGATTTTAGACATAAAGCAAAGGATCACCAGCCTACAATTTACACTGCCAGAGAAACTAGGACACAAAGAGGAACCTAAGAGATTTATGCAAGATCCATCACAGAAAGGGAAAGGGACAAGATCTCTTGAGCATATTGGGAGTTGGGGGGGGGGCAGTGAGTGGAAAGGGAGTTAGCAGAAAAAGTGGAGGAGGAGAGCAGAACATGTGGAATCAGGAAGATTGAGTCTGGGGATGAATAGACAAGAGAAAAAAAAAAAGAGAGAGAGAGATACCATAATAGAGGGAGCCATTCTAGATTTGAAGAGAAGTCTGAATCTCGAGAAATGTCCAGAGACCTACAAGGATGAACCTAACTAACAATCTGAGCAACAGTGGAGAGGCTACCTTAAATGCCCTTCCCTGATAATGAAATCGATAACTAACTTATCCTTGAACCTTCATGTAACAGCTGTTGGAAACAGAAGCAGACAACCACAGATAAACACTGAGCAGAACTCCTGGAATCCAGTTTCAGGGAGGAAGGAGTGATAAGCAAAGGGGTCAAGACCAGGCTACAGAAACCCACAGATATAGCTGACCTGAACAAGGGTGAGCTAATGGATTCCCAGACTGATAGCTGGGAAACCAGCATAGGACTGACTCAGACACCCTGAACATGGGTCTCAGTTAGAAGGCCTGGGCAGTCCATGAGACCTCTGACAGTTGAACTAGCATGTATCCCTGGTGCATGAAAGGACTTTGGGAGCATATTCCCCATTGAGTGATACTCCCTTAGCCTAGAGGCAGGAGGGAGGGCCAAGACCCTACTACAAATGATCTGACAGATTTTGATGATCCCTACTGGAAGGCCTCACCCTCACTGTGGAGTGGTTGGGGAATGGGACGGGAGGCATGGAAGTAGGGGAGGGAGAGAAAACTTGGATTGGTATGTAAAATTAAAAATACATAAATAAATAAAAAGAAATTACACACAATGTTTCTCATGTATGTATCGAAGAAATGTAGTCTTCCATTAATTATATAGTTTTCCCATGAAAGAATTCTTAGAGATGTTGTGTGTGTGTATGTGTGTAAATGTGTGTGTGTGTAGTGTATGTGTGTAAATGTGTGATGTACAAATACTAAGATATCACTGAAGTATATCTGAGAGCTAATTAATAATAATTTTTCTATGTTTTATGATACTTTGTGATGGATCCATTAAAACAAAAATGTTGATGGAATGTTTTGATTCATTCAAAATAATCCCTTATCACTTCATTTTGGCCTTATAATTTTTCTGAAAGAGAATTATGCCAAATCCTATGTGCTAGGCTGCAACCCAGTCTTCCTGTAAGATAAAATGAGCATCTGAATTTTCTATTCTAATAAGTTACACTTACTCAAATTTCATCTAGTAAATGTGATTTGTACACTGTAATGTTATTTATTTCCAGATGAGTCAATCCTAGAGAAGAGGAAAAATATCCTGATGCCATTAACTTTGCATTCACTCTCTTAGGTATCAAATTTGTTTCATTTAAAAAGACAACTATTTTGAAATGAGTTGGTATGCATCATAAATTCTCATTGATATTCATTGACTCATTAAGTTATCTGATGTATGCAACCTTTGTTGATAAACAAATGTTATTTGTAATTTTAATATTTTTAAACATAATGCTTGGAAAATATTTTCAATTCTGAAATCTTGAACAATTTGAGACTTTGTAAAAATTTTCTTGTAAAACTCTTTTTGAAATAATAAACATAACTCATCATTTTCTTAGCAATATAGTATTGCCAGGCATTGCTTACTACATTATGTATTTGAGAACTTATCTTTGAGGACTGACATGAAAGTATTAGAGAAATCTGGATGGTCAAATATGACAATCGAAAGTCTTTCTGTAGAAGAGAGTATTTTGCAACCTGTTTAAGAAAGAAAATGACCATTCCAGGTAGACAAGACTTGATTTATTGATAAAATTCATATCTCCTTCTCCAAAGGACATTTACAACCTTGGTTTCAGAAATAACGAAATTCTGAATTACAAATGTTCACTTTTAAATGTCAATTTTACAGATTATGTTCTTTCAGATAAATTATCAGTTAATAAATGTTCCAGAGGAATCTGGTATCAATTAATTTAACACTTCATATAAGAAATTATAATAAAACATTTATTTTCAAGTCTTACACATATTATATAAAATAGATACAAAGTTCAGTTGGTGATTTTAAAATTTTACTGCTAATTCAAACTATGTGAAAGACAATACCTTAGTGGAAAAAGGAGGGGCTTAACTATTTTTGAATAAATATGATGTTCAAAGGAGCCCACTCATATGTATTTAGGTATTAGCTTGGTCATATGTTGAATATAATTATCTTAAAAAGAAAGGAATTTTATTTGTTGGGCAAAAAACATAATATTTGGGGTTGTTATTACTATGCCACTTAGATCAGACTCAAAAAGTTCATTGTTCAAATATCTAACGTTGCACACATATGCAAATATTTGCCTAGTTAAATATTAGTTGCCATTATCCCGAAGACAATTGAGAGCAGATTAAGTAAAGGAATAATTGAACATATAGTTATTTACTGGGTGGATGTTAAAATATTTTTTCATACATATGTTCCTGTCCAAAAATATAAACTTTCTTGTTTCCATATATACAAGTATCCTGTAAAATCTGGGTTCTGAGAAGAAAATATTTGAGGTATAGCATGATATTTTCAGTTGAAATTCAACAATTTACTATCAGCAAATAAGAATTAATGTGGCATGTACTCTTGAATGTCTGGATTTGGCCCCCTGTGTAATTTGTTAGTGACATCAAATAACTGAACTCTTCAACATCAACATATACAAAGGCATTTTATTATTAATGAAAGAAAGAAAATTAGAATCATCAGAAATTACAGCTTTAGTCTTTGTAACACTATTATTTATTGTCATCACACTTCCACAATTGTCATGAAGTTAGAGCTAGGTGGGATTCAGAGTCTTGTGCAAGCTTTGGAAATGGACACATGAATGACAGTGTAGAACTGTACATAAAATAATTACAATTTATTAAACACACTTTTACTATATCTTTGATGGATTGGAATGAGCACCATATTTTTTTAATGAATATATATTTTCTCTCTCTGTTTATTTTTTTCTTTCTACAGCACCAAAGAAATCCAAATAGGAAAAGGAGAGATGATGATTATGGTCAAAAATGAGCCTTGTTGCCATCTCAGCCATACTATCTTACATTTTTACGACTATCAAACTTCTTCCCTCTCACTGTGCTTCCAGGAGGCATCGGTGATTCCTAAACACATGTTCCCTACTGTCCTTATTCAAAGCTTGTATATGGCATGAATTGGGTTGGTGGCAATTACCAAGGTACTTTCTCTGTTGGTTTCACATACTCTCCATCCAAATCTCAGCCAAGAAAGCAAACTGGACCGACTTCAAATCCAAACTTCTGACTCTGATCACCAAAATCATTGATCATTACATCAATGATGGGTACCTGATCAATTTTTGGAGTATTGATCTCAATCACAGTCTTTTCATAGCCTTTTCTGAACTGTAAAATTAAGCAGAAAATAAAGTTATGTCATCACTTAATATTATTAAATTCATGTTATTTTCCTATCTAATATAAACTAAGAAATTGAGAGAGGTCAGTGATAAATATGTAAGAATTCATTTGCTATCTCAGATGTCACATGAAATTTTAAACTTTGCTGACAATTAAAATTGCTATATTTAGGGGGCTGTTATGTTGTTTTAAATTTTTTATCTGAGTGACTATTGGTAATATTTTCAAATGCTATATATAGATACAGTAACACTTGATCTAATATTATCGTTTAATATATCTTCAAAACAAAATGTTTAGGTGTGTATTTCAGAGTACTGTGTGAGTGTGTGTGTGTGTGTGTGTGTGTGTGTGTGTGTGTGTTCCTTAGTGGTTTCTAAAATGTTTTATCTTTATATGTCATAGATAATCACTAAATCTTAATAATACTCAGTATCTGTTTTCAGAGAGACATCTAGCTTTGGGCCATAGCAAGGCTATCCACATTCCCTGTCAAGCATACCCACAAACAAAGGCACACTGAGACGGGACTCACCGCACATCCGTCATACAATGCTTTGATGTGTGGGTTGTTCTCATAAGACATTTCCTCATCATTAGATCCCAGAAATCGAAGTGCTTTGTCATAACTTGCTGATGACATGTCATACCATGCAGTTGACTGATGGCAGTGGTAGGTGAAATTTTGTCGGGCAGAGGCAGTCAGGAGTCTCAAGAATGTCATTTGCACCATATTAATAGAATTGCCTTCTATATCTAAATATGAAAGCTGGAAAGAAAGGAAAGAAGAGGCACATGAGAACTCTTCTTCTTTCTTGATATAAAGCATTAAACACTGGCCATGAATATTGTTGCCAGGGCTTCATGATAATGAATGGAATATTACCACTTTATGAAGAAATAAGACTTGACCCAAAGTCAGCGGCTTTGTCAAGAAAACACTGTGATCCCCTCATACACTTCAGTTACTACAATACTGCTTATATCTATGACAAATACATTTTTCTCTGCTTTTGTTTTCTAATTAGTAAGTACTATAAGAAGACAAATGTGAGTCTCCAAGAGATACTTCAGCTTAGTTATTAATCTTTTACGTGGTAAGATAGTAAAACAAGAGAAATTCAGAAATCTTGGTGTGAAGTAAAGGTTGGTTTTTATTCTGTTTGAATTTCAGAAATTCTGTAATATATCTTATTTACCTGAATCTTTATCCATGTCCAAGTGACCATAGTCTTCTATGGTATTTTTGTTTCTTAGCATAGATGCTAATTTGTCAATTTTCAGATAATGTATAGCTTTTTTAAATCAAAATTTTCAAGCATAGTGCCACAGAAAACTTTTGTCACTAATTTGCATCAATAACTTTGCTATTGATATACTTAGCTGCAAATTATTGTGGTCTAATGTCTTTATCAAGTATTTTATTTGGCATGATTGAAGTATCTGTGTTCTCATAAATTATATAGCCCAAAATTTAAGAGCCATTCAGATAACTGATTGAGATGATACAAATCTCTCTCAAAATTCAGTTACTTAACTTTACCATTTAACAAGTTAAATAGCAATTCTTATGAGGTTGAAAATGTATTTGAGATGTGCTTCACACAAAGTAAAATAAATAAAACTAATACACACAATTCTAAATACTGTATTGTACCTCATACAGATGAAAATGAACTAAGACTAGCATGTAACTTGATGACTAAATAGAAAATTTAAAGTCATGTGGAAGTCCACACTGCAAATCTTTACCTAATATGGATAGGTAGGTATATATATATATATATATATATATATATATATATATATATATGTAAGGAGACCAAATGAATAAATCAATACCAGTGGAAAGTAATACCATTTAAAAATATTAAATAATTAAATATCAGGAATAATGGAAGAATTTGAGATATTCTTAATGAATTAAAAATGCATATTTTATCAGATCTTAATATAATTTTAGAGTTTTAATTTTATATTATCTTTAGCATATTATTTAAGTTGAATTTGTTATTATGTAGAAATGAATGGTCAATTGGTTGACTATATACCTGAAACTATAAATCAGGGGGTAAAAATCCCAAATCCCATAAGTTCTTATGGGAATTAGGAACAAAAAATTATTGGGTTTCAAGTAGACAGAAATTAAAATAGGTAGAGTCAGAGATGTTAAATAGGTGTTGTGTTTTGATTCTTGCTAGTTTTAGAAAAAATAGTTTCAGATGTTAAACTGGATTATCTATTTGATCACACCTTTTTATTTTATTTTTTTTTTCAGAAATACTTTTAGTTATTTTGTTTCCAAGCCTTTAAGATACTATAGATGTCTGAAATCTCATACACTGGCAAGTGAGAAGCTATACTATTGCGGTAAATAAGGATCAGGATAAACAAATAGGCCGAATAGATGTTTATTCAGGGAGAAATAACTTACAACCTAGACAGATGAACACCAGGAAATTCAACCCGATCCTCTCCTGTCCGAGTCACGCCAGAAAAAGAGCGCCTTCCTGGCCCCCTCCGACCTCCTTCCTCAGGTCACCTCCGCCCATCGCTCCACCCCCCAATGGGCGTGGTCAGTGCTACAGAAGGACTACCTCACTACACTATACTGCATAGCATCATTCGTGCTTTGCCATTAAATAACTGAGGACACATAATTAGAATTTTGCCTAAGGATTTCAAACTTTTGTTGCATGTGGAGGAAAGAACATACCAGTTTTCCTCTCTTAAATTCACTGTACCAGCTTCCTGGTTTCTCCTTTGGCCACGATGAAATTCTTACCTATTACGAAAGAATGGGAGAAAATTATATATATATATATATATATATATATATATATATATATATATATATTCAGAAAATTTTAATTAGGTTAGGGACTAGAAAGTGTTCCAAATCCTATGGGCCCCATCTTATACAAAATGAGATAGGAGCAAACTTCAAGCTCGATCCTGTGGATTTCATGGAATGAAGCCTGAGCAACTTTCTGGCTAAAATTAGAGAAAAGGGAGAGACTAACTCAAAACTGAATGTCACAGGTTATTAGGGAACAGAAATTATGTAAGTGATGTCTTATGTCTAGTGTAAGACCTCTTAAATCTTCTCCAAGAGAGAAGCATGACTCATCAAACTTTCTCAAATCATAGACATTTCTTCTTAAAAGACTTCTCACACATAAAGCTAGCAGTTTCCACCCCCTATCTCCCCACACTACTTACTAAGAAAAACAAGATTTATCAACTGAAAAAATAAATCTTATCCTACTTATAAAACAACAGAAAAATATAATTATGTCAGTTGAATATACTTCTTTATACTGAAGATCTGCTTATATCTTTAGAAATACACCTCTGATGTCTAAATAATATGAGCTAAAATCAAGGAATTTCTTTGGGGAGACAAATATTCAAAATATATGTAAAGTTGGCATGTGTTCACTTAAAGAGGAGATTAATATTTTACAAAATTTTGCACTTTGAGCATAATATGCAGCTGCAAGTTCTATCATGTGATAATTGGGCAGAGACTACCATATACACTCTAAGATATGAGAGTCAGCTGTGCTGTGTCATGGAAAGCCACAGAAAATGTGAGAGCAAACAGGTGCTTTAAGAATACATCTGGGTAAAAACATAAAGGAAACAAGTGTCTGTAAACCGTGTGCATCAGCTTGGTGCCTTATTCATGTTTATGCAAATGAAACGTTCTAATTACCCTGCAAGAAAAGCAGATAAATGAAAATACGACAGTATAATTTTCCTGTTTAGTTCAATATTGCAAAAACATGGCAGGAACTGTCAACATCCACCACCAAACAGATTGGTACTTACTCCTTCAGATTTTTTGTCTGGATAGATGCATGTCTCACCACCAGCTGTGAAATTGCAGTACACTTTGAAGGAATCTCCAGAACAACCTTGATTAGGATCAATCCAATATTCACCTGGAAGTTAAAACAATAAAATCTTATATATAAAGCTAACAGTATCAAAATGAATTGCATTTGATATGAATTTTCATGCTTTGTTTTTGCCATATATGAGTATATATTCAAGTAGAGTTATTTTATGTCTCCTTTGATTCAAATCTTGCTAAAGAGCCAAAACAATCATTATTATTACTTTAGTTCCTAGTGTCTCTGTAATGCTTAGGGTTAAGTTTAAATGTAACCCTTCAACTATGAATATTATGTTTATCCATTCAATGAATAAAACTTCATTTAAATTAGAATCAGGTGCACTTGAGCCCAGATCACACATATATCATCACATTTTAGTAATCTCAGTGCTGTAATCAACATATTTTTAAATGTAGCAAAAGAAGGTGATTGATCTACATTGTATTGGGGATTTTAACATTATTATAGAGAAAAATTCTTATAGTAAATTAGCATTTCTTTTTATACAGTGTCCTAAGATGAACTGTTTTCTGCTATTAAAGCCATATTGAAATGTTGTAGAACAAACTTGATTATGTTAACGACTATTATTCGGTGTTGAGTGAGAGCAGTTGGTAAATAATAAGAATAACAACATTATTGTTTCACTAAACAACACATTTTACTTAGTGATATTAGAAGATAAATTAGATATATGGTAAATTCTTTGCTCTTTTATTACCATTCTTAGGTTGCTACTTCAGTTCAATTATTGATTTGAATTAGGGCAACCCACTGATTATGAAGTTAAGATTTGTGTGTGGGATGAATGCATGTGTTTGTAATGGGCATGTGTTTGCAACTGAACATGCATGTGTGTGGAGAACAAAGATAAATGTTGTGTGTTTTATTCTATCCCTCTATCTTTTTTTTTGGGGGGGGGACAGAGTGTCTCACTGAACCAGGAGCTCACCCATTTAGCCAGACTGGCTTGCTAGTGAGCTCCTGAGGTCCTCTTGACACCTCTCCTCCAAAATTAGGATTATAGATGTGTACATTTATAACCAGCTTTTATAAGAGAGCTAGAGTTAAAAGCTAAAATCTTCATTCAACAGATTTATCCACTGAGCTATCTTTCTAGTCCCATCTAAAACTTAAAAAGCTCACATTGATTATTGTAAAAGAATAGAGATTCATCTGATTTTTATATTATTTAATACTTCATGTATTATTTTATTTTAATGGCTTTTATAGTATCTATTTTATATAACATGAATACCTTAAGTACAAAAATATTCACATTATTTTCTGACTATATCATCCATATATTTGCACATGAAACAAGCCAAGATTCTTAGGAAAACCATACAAGTAAACAAAAATAATCCATGATTTCAGCACTTATAGTATATTTGATATTTTGTATACTTCTAAGAATATATGTTTGAATCCTATAAAACACAAATTTGTATCATTTTCCAATTTGCATCAATTCTTTCTGTTTTTTCACAGAGTCCTTAAATACTCATCTTTATTATATATTAAGAGATGAATTCTTAAAACACATTTCTTCAGTAAAATTGTTGACTACCAGGGCTGAAGAGGTAGCTCAGCACTAAAGAGTACTGGCTGCTCTTTCAGACGATCTCGATTTATTTTCCAGCACCCACAACCTTCTGTAACTGCAGTCTCAGGGAATACATTGCCCTCTTCTGTCCTCTGTGAGCACCAGGTATGCATATGTTGCACAGATGCGAATATATATGTTTATGTATGTATATAAATGTAAACAAACACCAATAAAAACTTCAGGATGTTAAAGTAGTTCCAAATCCCCAAATCCCCAAATCCCATAGATATACATCCAATTTGTCTCTAATTTATACATCACTCATTTAGGCACCATAATTTTCTCTCTAGAAAATCTATTAGCTCTTAACCAGTTTCCATTAACATTGTTTGTGTTCTTCTAATTTGCTACAAATCATTTAGTAGGCTGCTCACCACTGCTTAATCTCAGTGAGATATTTTTGTTTTGTTTTAAAAAAAACAAGGGCCTTGCTTCATCTTAATTTTTCAAATGTTTGCCACTCTTCTCCTGGAAGAATCTTTTGATTATTAACATGACTGATGATCTCCTTATGGCTTCATAGGAAAAAAAATACTTTTCAAACTCATTAGTATTATTTTAATCCAAGTAGACACATCTTCTTATTGTATATTCATGTTATTTTCATAACAAATATTATAATATACTTTCTTGTGCTTTCTTAACTATATGGATCATTTCTGTGCCATTAGGTTTGTATTTAACTACCTGTAAGTAGAACCACTACTCAATAATGCTCAAATAAAGACAACTCATTTAACATGCTCTATAGTATTAGTGAAGTAGGTTAGTAGATAGAGATTACTGCAAAGTATAGCCAACAATGAACACACCATTCCTGGACTTTATAGTAGTTTTCACTTTAGTTCTGCTTCTACATCATAAGTGGTTAAAAATTCAGCACATGTTCTTTTCTTTATACTTGGTGATTAATTTTCCATGATTAAATCATTTATTGAGTTCTAAATTTTATGACTTGCATGTCATAGGCATATTCACTTATATTCATTTCAGTGTCCTATGAACCCAACAGGAACCTATTGATTATCAGTGATTTTAAACGTCACAGTAGGAAGAGTAACTTTCTAGCCATATATTAAGCTAAATCACATCATTTCTTTGCTTATTGGATGCCAGCTAAAAGCAAAAATCTCTCATAAAGTAACTGAACTAAATGTATCTTTTGAAATAAATACTGATATAAAAACCATGAATGCCCATTTATGTATGATCCAATTACTATGTTTTATTGTTTATGGACTATGCTTAAGATAATACGGTTTTGTGATGGTTATCTTTTAAAGTGCTACTTGTGAATTATATTAGACTTTTCTAGAAGTACTGAGTTATGTATGTATGGATTTTAATATTAATTTAAAACCAGTCATGCAAAACAGTAATTTCCTGGTTATGGAAGAGGATTGGTTATACTTCAGAATAAAGTGGAAGACTGAGAATTGGATAAGTGTTTACCACTCAATAATTAATCAGATGATTTTACCAACTATTTATCAAACTCGAAATTGTTAGTTACTCAGAAAGTAATGATACAAGGCATTTGAGGTTGTAGGCACAGTGAAGAGTGAAGAGCTACTTGTAGTTGTTCTGATGTACCAATGGAAAATAAAAAGAGATTTAGTTTTAGTTTATGTCTATGGTTGTTTTGTCTGAATTTATATATGTACAATCCACGTATGCTGCCACCTATGGAGGCCAGAAGTTCCAAGAATCCTCTGGAACTAGAGTTACAGACAATTGCAAGATATCATGTGGTGCTGGAAACTGAGCCCAGAGCCTTTGCAAGAGCATCCCATGTTCTCAAAGCTCTCTGGCTCTGAAAACTCAATTTTGCCAAAAGTCATCGTGATTTATATGTATTGTATTCACTAATAACATGGATCAAATACTCAGCTTTTGAGCTACTTAATCTTATACATATTACACATGTTATTATACATAGTATAAGTCATATTAACATGTCTGTATTAGTTAAAAATTAAGGCAATCATTTTAATATAAGATTAGTCATTAACATTAAGTCAGTAAGTCAGGAATAAATGTTGTGGCAGGCATGTTTGTGCACATATAATACTATGCTGTGAGACATTTACATGGCCAAATATATCTGTGCTTAAGATGACTATCCATAAATAATCCTGTCAAAAGTTAATGAAACATTATTTTGTACAGGATTTTCCAAAGCATTTCATCAACTGCATGCTGTAAATAAGTTGCTTTTTCCATCTACAAGGCTAAAAGTACTAATTATTTACTTTAGCTTTATGTAGAGTCTATATTACTTATATTAACAAAAACAATTGTACTGACAAGGCACTTCAGTTGCTGAGTAGCTCAGTGCATTTGCTTAGTCATTATGGACATACCATCTGGGAAGTCAGGATGGCTAAGTTGTAGGTCTTTGCATGTTCGTGCTGGATTGTTCTGTGTACCCATTGGAAACTTCATATGTTCAATGTCTTGTTTCAGAGAATTGAGGGAACCAAATATTTCCTCCATTCCATCTCCATAATCAAGAATATTATCCCCTGCATCAGCCTGAATGCTCTCAGTATGTCTTCTTGTCTTTTTGGGTGACAAAATTGGTAATGGCTGGATGACTTCTCCAGGAGGACCCTGTAAAGGAATTGATAAGAACAATATTATTTCAGAAAACAAAACATTTTGTGAAAGAACTTATTACTTTACTATATGCTTTTGAAAATTATTTGGGTTAGCTATCAGTTGCTAAAATGATAATATGATATATATGAAAGCAATTTTAGACTCTCTCTCTCTCTCTCTCTCTCTCTATATATATATATATATATATATATATATATATATATCTTTTAAAAAAAGAACATAGTAGAGATATTGAGGTAGGTATACAAATCAGATCTTTGCTTGTGTACTACCTGTAAACTAAGATAGTTTGGAATTTTGCTGGCATATTATACAGACTACTCTGTTATTTATTAAATTAGTTTTGACTTATATATCATATCCACAACTAGATATTAGAATTTCTGAGGAACTGAACACTGTTACAAAGTTCTTAGGGTATCCAAATTTTGTCTATTTCGTTCAATAATAACTTAGTTTCTGAAGGTTTAAAAAACCAGCCATTATATTCAAAATATGTATAAACTTACATTAACCTGTATTACTCTGGAAGTAAATGCCATCAATTTAATTTACCCATAATGTGAGCATAGAACCACACGAACAGTTAATGTTCATCATCAATGGTTAAATTGTGCCCCATATATATGTATGCCCCATAGTATTTCTGATCCTTACCATGATAATTCAGAATGAAATCTTTCTCATAACTGGGATGGTTGAAGATATGATTAAATAAGATGAAGTCACTGGGCATGGCCTAGTGTATAGTGACTGGCATTATTATAATAAAAAGAAAGTATGGTTACAGAAACACAGATCTAGCAAGATTGAGGGATTAGGACAAGGATGTCATGTATAAACTTAGAAGTTCCAAAATAGTTTCTTCCCCCACAGCTTTAGAGGAAGCCAAGCCTGTGACAGCTTGTTTTAGTATTCCAGCCTCTACAGTGGCTCCCTGCTTGTCTTTGGCCCCAGTTGTCTGTCTAAACCAATACAGGTACAGTTGGAGATACTTGAGCTAAAAGCGAACAAACAAAATCCCCCCAAAACAGAATATGATTTCTTATATAGAGGTCTACACTTTAATACTAACACTTTGAAAAATGTCACAGCTAACAAACAGCACTTACTTAGCTATTATTGTTTCATGTACTGTCGTCAATATATACAGTAGGAAAAACACACCCTGGGATATGAATTTTCATCTTTATTTCTGGAATCAGTTATAAATACATTTCTGTGGGCATATATTCTATTAGTTTCATTACATGTGACCAAAGTGTACATGGTTAACTTGAAAAATTGAAGTTTATTATAGTACACAACTAAGAATCTTTATATTTATGGAGTGGTATCAATGAAAACATAAATCTTGACATATAAATTGATTACCTTAGGGGCCTAGTTGCATTTTCCTGCAAAATCAATATTTTGGACAGAATATGCTTTTCCCTTTGCCATCTAAGTCCAGAGAAACAAGTGCCCACACCCATATGCCTACTAATAGAATATTTCTTGCTAATAAACACTTACAGGAGGCCCAGGAGGCCCTGGCAGACCACTGTCACCCTTCTGGCCAGTAGGTCCCTGTTGGAAAGAAAACAGGAAAATTTATGAAGTGAGATGGAAATTCATCAGGCTTCATTGAAGCGTTAATATGAAAATAAGAAAAGCACTTACAGAAGATCCTTTGTTACCCTTCGGTCCAGCAGGACCCTAGAAAACACAAAGGCAAAAACATAGGTAAAAGTGTAGACTAGAGTTTGTACTGACAAGCTTGTCATTTTTCCTGTGTTTCTTTTCTCTTGAACTTACTGGTAATCCTGGAGGACCAGGAGGGCCTATGGGACCAGCAGGACCTGGGATGCCCTAGAGAGAGAAACAGTATTAAGTTAATTACTTTCCTAGTTCATTTGATTTTCATGTTTTGAATATATCCATTGCAAACCTCTGAATATTTAAAAGCATCTAAAATGTTTTGTTATTAATAAGAGAGACTCCTTTTTTATGGTAATCCAAATGCTTTGCCATTCATTGCAATATAGGTCTTTCGCATTATGTCACTATCCTAAAGACATACTATTTGGCACTTCTGTAGTTCTCAAATTAAGGTCTGCATATGACGTGGATTCAAGAACAGCTTGTACAAATGTCTATAGTGCTGTATCTTTTGTTATTTTAAGTTAAATCCTATTTCTATTTCATTTTATTTATTTATTTTATTTTTTTGTTTTTTTGAGACAGGGTTTCTCTGTGTAGATTTAGAGGCTTTCCTGGAACTAGCTCTGTAGACCAGACTGGCCTTGATCTCACAGATATCCGCCTGCCTCTGCCTTCCAAATGCTGGGATTAAAAGTGTGGGTCACTAACCAACACCCGGCTTAAATCATATTTTTAATATATGAAAATATTAAAGATAAAAACAGCATGGGTTAAAACAGACAAGCACAAAGGTGCTCTAATGCACTCCAAGGATCATGATGAAAACATGTGTCATTACTCAACTGTATTTGTTCTGGTACAATGAAGTAGGAAAGCCAACTACAAGGTACTCACCCCATCCCCTTTGGCTCCTGGAGAACCTTGAGTCCCAGGGAGTCCTCTGTCACCCTTTTCCCCTTGTTCTCCCGGAGGGCCAATCAATCCAATTAAACCAGGATGTCCCTATAGCAAAGACAGAAAACAAACTAGTAATGTAATATATGTTATAGCAGTGTTCAAGTTCTAGTCATAAGATACTTTATGTTGTGAGACATAATATCAAAGGAATGAAGGGATCTCTGATAACATCTCTATATGAAATTTAAAGTTTAGACCCTCCATCTAATATAGTGGAACATTTATTGCTTTTGGCAGAGAAGATATAATATTGATAAAAGAGCTTTCTAAAAATAACAATAATCATCATTTGCGATAAACTTAAAAAAATAATGTCCAAATGGAGTATCGGTAACATAAAAACCAGAGAACTCATTATTTTAGTAAGCATCTAATATGAAATGTTTCCTATTCTTTGGGGGAATGTTTTGTCTCTAAAGAGTTCTATAGATATAGAATCTATCCAAACTGTACTAATTTTATTATGTAAAGAGATCATTTTTCTTATGTGATACAACACAATAAAATTATGGGATTACTTGAAAAAAAATTCTGTCTTAAAACTTTTACTTTCATGTTAAAAACGTAAAAATGGTCACTGCTATTCAGTCTATTTGGAGGTGTTATATAGCATTACCATATGCTCTCTCCATACAGTGTCTAAAAGCAATCATTAAGAAGAAACAGCTGGGGAACTTGCATAAGACCAAACTAGGACCCAGAAAGTGGGTGTCAGTTGGGAGGGGGCTTGGACAATATTCATCCCTATTGGCTTTTTTGAGCCCATTTCCTATGCAGGGATACTTTCTCAGCCTAGATACGGGGGTGGGGGGGCATGGCCCTGTCCTAAATGATGTGAGAGACTTGGATGGTTCTTGCATAGGAGGCTTCATCTTCTCTGAGGAATGGATGGGGGTGTTATAGGAAGATGGTGGGTAAAGGGGGAGGACAGAAGGGGGATGGAACTGGGATTGGTATGTAAAATAAAATCGTTTTAATTTAAACTAAAAAATAATTTTAAAATGAAACAGCTCTCATGCTGGAGTATTTTTTTCACTATCTGCATATTTTTCTTTTAAATACATTTGAGAATCTAAGAATTGTTATCCTTATCCATAATCAGAATGACAGTGGTAAAGTTGGATAACGTATTTTAAGTGACTTTTAGAAAGTTATTACATCTGCTATTACTGTTATAAAATCCTGATGACATATTTTACTCTTACCTTTTCACCTTTGGAGCCAGGGTCGCCTTTGAGACCAGGTAAACCAGGAGGTCCCTGAATCAAAAGAAAACAAATAAATTCACTGACAATGAGTATTATGGCTTGAATGTGAAATAACTCCCATGATGCACTGTGTTTGGTTCTGTTGCTAATCAGTGGTGTTCTACTAGAAGGCTTAATAACTCTGGGATCTAGGCTTAGTGGCTGACATAGAGTGTAGGGATGGTCAGGAGTGTTATAGGTTGCCAGGGTAGGACCTCTTCTCTACTTTCTGTTCAGCCTTCCTTACTTGAGCATGCTGTCTCAGGCTCCTGCATTAGGGACAGTGACTGCTCCAGTTACTATGTCTTCCCTGCCTTGCACCTTAGAGTAAAACTAAATACTTTTTCCAAGTTGCTTCTGGTAAGTATTGTGTGTCAATATCCAAAAAAGACTATGAACTAAAACTTCACATTTTAGTTGCAGAGCAGGTTTTTTTTTTTTTTTTCAAATACAGAGTTCAGTCAAGGTTAATCATAATTGGTGTTATTGCATTTGTCAGGATTATAGTGAAATTCATGGTCTTTAAATAGCATGGAGTTAATGAGTAATCATAATACTGATAATTTAGATTAAATAAATGTATGTGAAATTTCAAATAAGATACAACTTATATGGATTTTCATCTTCAAGAAAGCATAAATTATTAGTTATAATAATTGAAACAGAATGGATTTACAAATTATACATGCAATCCATCAGTACTTCCACGATAAACTGTAGTTTCAAAGCATATGTTATTTTCAGTAAAATTAAAGCATAATTCTCAAGATTTTAATAATCAAATGATTTTTAAAAACACAGAAAAAAGTCAGATAAATATTATGTTGTATCTCAGTAACAAGTATATTGAGATGATTTGGAATGGTATATGATCCTGTAGAGAAGAGAAAGATTACTTCTGGGATACTAATTTGAAACCATGAAAGGCTGTGGCTAAGTCTCTGCATTCTTATTTTAAGTTTTGTTTATACTCTCTTAAATATAAACCAATTTAACTGTGATCTTTGAAGAGAAAGATGCATCAAGATGCAAAATGATCCCAAAATAATTTAATCCTACACCTTCAATATTCACAGAAATAATAACAATTTTTTTTTGTATCTGGTTAACTTGTTAGAAACAGTCACTTACATTATAAAAACTGACAACAAATTCAAATCCAATAATCAGGTTGAAAGCTCAATATTCTTTTAGCCTGTCACACTGAACTTCTCAGAGTAGTGACAATAACCAAGGAGAAGATGATGTTACTCCAGCAAGGTAAGGCAGTATGTGTTAGAGAATGGCAAAGCAATTTAGCAAACCACTGAAGGTGAGTCTCAAAGGAAGTGCTCTGAATTAGATTTCAAAAATTTAGAGATAGAAAAGGCTCCCACACAGCATCCAGGGAAATGAGTGGAAAAAAAAACATCCATTATAAGAATTTACTGAATAGAACTAAGGAATAAAAAAATGTTTAAAACATCTCAAATCTTAATTGAAAATCCTTGTGAGCCAGAAAGGGTTTTAGCAAATTGTAATACAGTGCTTTGACTGTAGCCATATTTTAGAATATATAATACTTCACTATTTTTCTTTGCCTTAAAAGTTCATTGCAATTAAAAGGCTTGCAAACTAAAGACTCCAGAAAGATCGAATGGATGATGCATTGGGTCAGAAAGTCACAGCACCAACATATCAATTAGGCTTCTAGATGACAAAGTCAATAGAAACAGCATGCTTCAGATTAGTGATAGATTATCCTAAACCTTAGAATGTTTCAATGATTTACAATTCCTTTCATCAACAAAGAATCATACACGAGCTTACAAACCAACAGGAAAATATAAGGACTTGACCTAGCATTTATAGACTTCACCCAACATTATTTTCTTCTTCCACTACATAGAAAAGAACACACATAAAGTGTAAGGCTTTCTTCGTCAGTTAGTTAAGTAAATGGAGTTTATTACTAGTCATTTATTAGAGAACCTCCAATAATAGTTCAATTTTGAAACTGTTTTTTAACAACAAACAGTATTATCTTTTTCTTTATCATTCTCCCCAAAATGTATATTAACTATAATTTCTAAATTAAAATTTATTTTAAAAACACAAATTGAAATATTAAGAAATGTACTTCTTCCATCCTACTTTATCTCATTCAAAATTTAACATTTCATACTTGCTACAACTCAGAGCTGGAAAGCACTGGGTTTTAAGAAAACTGTACACCTGAAACACAATTTAGAAGATAATAGTAAGAATCAGTGCTAAAATTAGCAAAACAAGCAAATATCCTAACATTAAACACTGTAGAGTGTCATGTATTATAACTCTGTAACAGAGTTTATTTGGAGCATCAAATAAAAGTTTTAAACTATAATCCAGTAAGCCATATCCATTTTATTTACGGTTGTATGCTTAAAAATTGATGCTGTCTTGTATTTATCAATTTCTGAAATGATATTAAAATTGACAATTAATAAAACTTAGTCTTCCAGCATCCTTGGAATGAGTAGGTGTTTAATATAAAGAATATGAAACAAAACATTTTAAACCCCTACAGCATTAATTATACTTAAAAATATCAAATGCTTGCTTTTTAAATTATTCAACAATGTTTACTTGATATTACAGTGAGTATATACATTTATTCAATATTCTTTGTACCTGGGGTTTGAGGCAATATCTCAAATCAAAGCTAGCCTGAGATACATAGTGAAATTAAACCCAAACTAGACTATATAAAGAGATTACCCCTTATAAAATTAAAAATAAAACACTCCTTTTAAGAAAACAAAACAAGAATGTATTGATAAGATCTGTGATCAAACATTTCTATATAGGAAATAAGGCAATTTCTATTCTATTCCTCTTCACTCAATCTTCCTGGTCCCCCATGTTCTCCTCTCCCTTTCTCTTCATCCTTTCTCTTTCTCCTAATGTCCTCTCTACTCATGGCACCCCTCCTCCATTATGCTCAGGAGATCTTGTCCCTTTCCCCTTCTGTGGGAGACCTTGTATATCTATCTCAGGGTCCTCCTTGTATCCTAATGAAACTTCTAGAAGCTGCAGAGATTTACATGAATAGCTTTGGGTGTGAGTATGAATGTATTTGTAACTAGGAGGAAAGCATAATATGAATAAAGAATTATTCACACAATTTTCAAGTGCATTAGTTTTTAAGCCCAATGTGAACCTATCTAAACTTTCAAAATATTTTACTTTCACCTCCCTTATTTATCTTCCTTTGAGCCTCTATACTTTCTTAGTTACTGGAAGCAAACACCCAGGTGACCTGGAAATCACATCCTCTGCTTGCCTGTCACAGGACTCACAAGTTACATACTAGCTGCTCTAAGAATAATCCCACTTGCCTTGTGAGAAAATTTTTTTCAAGATAGGTTTTCTCTATGTAGCTTTGGAGCCTGTCGTGAAACCATTCTGTAGACCAGGCTAGCTGAAAACCTCAAACACACAGAGATCCATCTGCCTCTGTATCCCGAGTGCTGGGTTTAAAGGCATGTGCCAACACTGCTTGGCCTTCTCACCAATTTCTAATCCAGAGTATTGGCTCTGTATGAATGTGAATTTAGAGACCATTTAGCCACACTCAATAAAATTATGACACTGATGTTTTCGAAATATTTATAACTATTTCCCTCATTTGACAATTCTTTGTTCAGTAATATTGCTTTACACAGAGCCATTTAATAAACATAAGAACCCATTAGGAAAAAATACCCTCTCTATTAACTATAATTAAACTTAGTATCATTTTATGGGATAGGGTCAGATGCCCTTACTATTCTCACTTTGAAAATATAGAGGTTGGAGAAGGAGGAGGGATCCTAGTGTCATGTCCCAATCACATAGGATTGCTAATTTTTTAAACAATATGTCTGCCTTGAAAGTAGTTTAATTTTACCTCTATGCATAATAACACCTCTCACTCTGATTAAAACATGTTACTTCTACAATATGTCTTTCTTAACTGAGTAGAAAACCTCATTATATATGGCATTCTACAGATGCCTTCTCTACATGCCCTCTTATCTTGAGGACTAAGCAACATTTTCCAGATATCAGATTGGTTGAAGCTATAAAAAATATGTATAATATATTCACACCACAATATTTCCCAAATGAAACCAGCAGCCAGGGAATGAGTGTGTGTATGTTGGGCTCTCCTAATGCTTACCATTGCAATTTTCCAAAAATGACTTGAATTGTTCATCCTTCTCATACTATAAACTCACATTTGCTTAAGCATTAGAAAAACAAATTTTGCAGACTTTAATCAGCTGGTGTGTCTGATGGTTTTATTTTTAACATTAGTTGAAGGAAATCTCCAGCAATTTCTATTTCTATTTCATATGCTGAAAGGTCAAAAAGCTTATTGGAAAATCAAACAGTACAAAAAAATAAATAAATAACCCGAGGAAAGCATTTTTGCTACCAGACTCTGAATCTGCAGGTAGAATTTTCCACATCATAGGAGAATATTTCTTGAATATCCATGCAGACCTGGAGCTGACCCAGCTTCACCCAGGGCTCAGTTTCTATGATAATGAGATTATGTATAGAATAGATAACTTGTAATATTCTACAAGTCAATTAAAGATTGACAACATCTATCCATTTACTGAGTAAGCAATCTAATTTGTCCAGGGCAAGTTTCGAAAGATTTTAACACTTACTGAACTTTGTCATGGCTATTTTATTACTTGTAGTTTATGTAATAAAAGGAACAGCTGAATAAATCCTGAAAAATTAGATTGTGGTTCTAGTTTTGATGTTTGCTGAATATGTGTATCTACTAAGTAAACACTATGTTTCTGGTAAAGGGGAAACAAAAAAGTTCCAATTACTTCAAGAAAGGACTTTGTTATTTAAAGGAATTGTACTATACTTCTTTATTGTTTTGAGTATTGTTTACTTTTTGATTCATATTTAAGATATAGTTATATAAAAATCAACATTAAAAAACCACTACCAGTTGAGCCAATTTATACATGAAAGTGACCTGGCAAACAATTATTTTAAAAGACATGTTTTCATTCTTACTTCATGTCCATATTGCATCAAGAAATATTTTGGACTCTAAGATGTTGGCCAAGGATATGCTTCATTGCAATGATCAATCATGATGTTTGTGTACAGAATTCATTGTTCAACATCATCATAAAAACAGTCACATGACTTTTTTAGAGCTCAGGATAAAGTCCTGCTTCTGGACCAAGTTATCTCAAAAAGAAAACCATCTATTTGAGCAGCTACCACCTTTGTGTGCTGACATGACTCCCTATGTGAGAGCCAGAAACAAAGTTTAATCACATGTACCTTGGGGAACTGTCTGCATTGAGAAAATAACGGGTTACACCATAAGTAGCATTTTCATCTGAGTAGAAAAGATGTTTTTTTTTATTACTATTAAATTTTTCTTTTAAAGGGTATGAGGAAGGAATATTCTCTGGAACAAGTGGCATACTTTATATGCTATTATCAGGATTATTTTTCTCATTGAACATGTAATATTCTTTCCTGAAAAGCAGAAACCTCTTCAGAAGATACTACTCACAGACTCTAGTTTATAATCTTAATATGGTAATTATCTATAAATAATGACAAATGTCACTCACCAGAGGACCAGGGGGTCCATCTTGGCCAGCAGCACCAGGGAGTCCTTGTTCTCCCTACATAAAAGAAAATAAAATTTTGTTTGCTAACAAGACAATTCCTATTACTTTTGAATGTTTGAGGTTGGCATCTATAAATTGTAGTACCTCAAAAACATACAAAGTTAAGCTTTTTGTTCTCTTTGCCTGTGTATGTACCTATACTTATGTATATATCTACATATACTTATATAACACATACACATCCACAGACATATGCAGAGATATATGTATGGAAACTTTCATCACTGTGACATTAGAACTTCTGCTTTAATATATAGAACTTTAACACAAAATTATAACATACATGAGATATGTAAATATTTTTAAATATATTAAATTATTTAAACTGTCACTTAGTAACTTTTATAGAAATACTGGATTTCCATAAAGAATATTATGAAACAGCAACCTTAATAGCATTTAAATTCATAGATATTGAAATGTAAGTTATCATCATAGCAGTCCCTCTTGGCAGATGCTTACCACAGGACCAGGGATTCCTCGAAGACCTTCTGGACCAGGTTTTCCAGAAGGACCTTGAGGTCCAACGGGGCCAGTTTTCCCAGGAGGCCCTTCAGCACCAGCTTCTCCCTGTTTGACAATTAAGCATGTAGGCATATTAATAATGATAAAGCCCATGTTATCATATAATGTGTTGAAATACATGTCTTTCAATGCATGAGCCTCCTAACATGTCTCTTCACCTCATACCTTAGCACCTTTTTCACCTTGCCTTCCTTCGGAACCTGCAGCCCCAGGAGGACCCTGTAAAAATAAAACTGTATTTAGAGATATACTACCTTAAAAGAAACAGTGCTGAGGCTCTCTATGTAAATTCAGGAACAGCTAATAGACTTCTAAAGTATGGTTTTATATTAATTTTCTATTTAAAACACAATAATAAATTCAATACTAATTTCATGCATGTAAAAACTGCCATTTAAATCATTTAAAATAAACCACCCTCTCTCTCTGCATCTGGATTCTAGTTCGACTCAGTATTTAGTTATGGGTGTTTGCTTACGTTCCCAACAGTTACTAAATGAGGTCTCCCAGATTGTGGATAAGTTAGCTGTTGATCTCATTATCAGGGAAGGGCATTTATGATAGCCTTTCCACTGTTGCTCAAATTGTTAGTTGAAAGCAGTCTTGTAGGTCTCTAGACATTTCTTTAGATTCAGGACAAGACCAGGTTGTAGAAACACATAGAAACAGCTGACCTGAACAAGGAGGAGCTAATGGGCCCCAACTGATAGCTGGGAATCCAGCATGGGACTGACTTAGGCCCACCTGAATATGGGTCTCAACTAGAAGGACTGAGCAATCTAAGGGACCTCAGACAGTGAAACCAGGATGTATTCCTGGTGTACAAAAGTACCTTGCAGACACATCTCCCATGGAGGGATAACTGCCTTAACCTAGAAACAGGAGAGAAGTCCTAGTCCCTACTTCAAATGACTTGTCAGATTTTCGTGAACCCACCTGGATGGCATAGCCCTACATGTGGAGTGGGGGAGGGATGGAAGGGGAGGGTGGTCAGGGTGCATGTGAGGGGGGAAAGAAAGTAAGAGAGAGGGAAGTAAGGAGAGAGGGAGAGGGAACTGGGATCGACATGTAAAATAAAAAGAAAACAAATAAATAAATTAAAAACAATAAATAAATAAACCACCAACTACGAAAGCCAAGATCATCATATAACATCACCAAAATAATAGGAAGGCAGCTTCTCAAAAGTGCTAATAAAGAACTCTATCTAGTAGTGCATGATTTTAAACTCAACACCTGGAAGCAGGTGAGTTTGAAGGCACCCTGGTCTACATAATGAGTTCCAGGCTATCCAGGGCTACAGAGTGAAACAGAGAAGCAAAAAAAAAAAAAAAAAAAAAAAAAAAAAAAAACTTAGTGTAGTCTGAGTGCAAATGATAAAGGCTGTTTGTTATTTTGAATTATTCGGAGTTCCTTGAATATGTGAAATATTATTTGCATCTTTATCTTTAGAAATGTTTTGGAGGTAGCTTAGTCTAAGAATACGTTAGATATTATACATAACAAGGGCCTTTGGGATCCAGCCCCAAGGTTTTCTTTAATGTTCAGATCGGATTCTATAGAGAAGTGAAAGGAACTTAGGGTATCTGAGGTCAACAATCTCTTATATGTGTGCTGTTTGTCGTGTCTCTTTATTGTTCTGTCTCTATTCTAATTCTCATGTCCTTTTCTAATTTTTCCTAGCTTCTTCTCTTCTAGCCTAAAAATCTCTCTTTTACAGGAGGCTTGAAACAATAAACTAAAACAACAAAAAATTACAAGAGTTACCTCTCTTTGATCAAAAGCACATTTTGAGGTTAAGGAATAAGGAGCTGAGCTGTTTACTTTGGCAACACAAGGTTTCAAGGTTTCAGGAAGAAGGCTGTGAACAGAGCCTGGTGACAATGTGTCCAGTGACTAACTTTGAGACATAGGTCTTTGTCAGCAAAAATTGGCTAGGAAAGAGTTGGCATGTTTTTCTTATGGTGCTTTGTGTAATAACATTGTTTAGACAGCTGTGACTATGACCTTGTGCATAGCTGTAAACTTGTGATCTATGTACAAAACCCTTTAGTCTAGGTTGAATTTGCTCTGAGGGAAAAGATGAGTTAATATGTGCAGTTTGTGTTAAACTGAGGTGAAATTTGTTACTTTCTGATATTAGCCTGAGTAAAAGGAACAAAGCAACTTTTAAGTTCATCACAGTCCTCATGGGACAATGAATCTAGTTATGAAGCATATCATACTATATGTTTTATATTTCAAAACAATGTTATCTTCCTGATTATCCACAATATATGTATGCTCAATAGATGCAATATTATCATGAGATAAACACACAAGCAGAGGGAATACATTCAAAGCTGTTCATAGGTAAAAAATGAAGTAGCACAAAAGAGAAATTACAGATACAGGCAACCAGATTTCAGGTAAGTGGTCCTGTAAGCCTTGCAAGACAGGATTACCTCCATTAGAGTTTTGTAGGTTAACATGCTACATGCTGTATACTTCCACAGCCCCCAATACATGCATTCTAAAACCATGTTCCAGCTAAAGAACAACATTTGCAATCATAAAGGTCAACAATCACAGGAGTTTCATTCTTATAGGAAGATTTAATTCACAAACATGTAAGATTAAAAATAATTTGATTTTCAAAATTCTACGACAAGAGATGAAAAATGATTATACTGGAAATGTCATAGAAAAGCATATGTAAAGAAAGATTAAGTAAGTAACTAATGATCTGTAATTTATTTTCCCTCTAGTTCCTATTGTTTTCCATATGTTCAATTTTCTCAATAGTCATGTTTAAAATTACCAGCAGAGATTGGATATGGAGGTTAGGCAGTGTAGATAGAGTAGTGGTATTTGGTGAGACATTAAGATGATGTTTTATTTTAGTTGTTACTTCAGTATTCTACTGTGACTACAGGCTTATCTTCTATGCTATTTCTCAGTACCATAATAACCAAATTAAATAAATATCAATCACTTCATCAAACTCTAGTTCCAGGAACTCATTTTAGATGTGATAATCTACAAAGACATCTTTAGCCATTTATTTTTTAATTACAGTACTGTAACACAATATTGCACATTCAAAATGCCTCAAAATGTAACATGAGTATAAATTGTATGAACTGTTAATTAAGGTGGTAGCAATATGCTGAGTTATAATAGATATTGTAAAGGCGAGTCTTTGGTGTGTTTATATTTTAAGAGGAGCCACTGCAGTATATCTGTTTATTTAGCAGTATATGTATTGCGCACAGCTTTAACTTTTCCTATCATTACAGTGTTAGGCCAGAAGTTGGATTGTTGCCCTAGTCAGTGGAATGTATATTTTAAAACATCACAATGATCGTTATTTAGAAAAGAGAAATAATGAAATTCACTGGAGTAACAGTTCCCTCTCTCCCTCTTATGCTTTCTTTATTTTTCCATCCTTTTGTAATTCCCCCCTTTACTTAATTACTGTAGTTTTTCCCTCATCATACATCCACTGTGGTTTTATCCTAAAGGCCATAGGTATGTGGTAACTTCTTTTCTTAATATAGACTGCTGATGTTGAACTTACCAGCCTGCACATCTATGAACCAAATGCACTTTGGTCCTTATAAGTCATTCAGTCTTTCTGTTTGGTAATGGCAACACAAACAGATGAATTCAAGTCATATGAGAAACTTGGTTTTAGTTTTTTCTAATATGTCTTCATAAAAGAAACTAGTTGAGTTTATCCCTAAAAGTCACCATTACTACATTTTCCTACTCATCAGAAATAGAAATCATATAATTTTCTTTCCACTATTAGTAGTTAACAATATGGTGTTATAGTTTGTCCATTCTGTCACTCAATTCTCAAATATATAGATATTACTTATGATACAAATTATGATATGCATGATTAAAATAACTTCAAAATAAAATAAAAACCATAAGGAGTATACAAAATTTCTTACAAGACAGATATACAGGGTAATGAAAATAATACACAGGAAATGTATGATGATGACATCAATGTATAAAATATGTATTGGATCCATTTTAGGGGGAAGAAAGGCTTTTCAGAAAATTTTTATGTCAGATCTGAATCTTACAGTGTGGGTAGATAAGAGGTTTTCTGTGATAACTGCTTTACTTTATTATCATTCTTGTGCAAGCACAAAACCACAGGATTGATGTGAATAACATTATTCAGAGACTTAATGGTGATTTGGGGAGGCTGTTTGCTTAGATCCATGCACAATGTAAGTGTGCATGGATGCATGTAGACATATGCAGTGGAGATTGCTAATCAAGGGAGGAGAAAGAAATCATAGATTAAGAAGGATACTGACTATTTAAATATTTATAAAATTAACTGTTCTAAATTTAATGTGAACTTAGCTACCATGGTAAATATTTATACATATATGAAATGAATGAAATTTATTACTTTTACATTAAAAATTATAAGTTGTCCATAAACTAAATACTACAATTTAGGGTATTTAAAAATAAGTGTAAAACACCACTAATTTTGCATTTTTCAGAACAAGTAAAATTATTTTTAAATATATTTTTTAAATTTTTATATATGTGAACATGTGTTTGTCTGTATGTGTATGTAACATGTATGTGCAGGTACCTCATCAAGACCAGAAGATCTGAAGTTGGAATTACAGTCAGTTGAGAGTTGCTTGATGGGCATGCTGGTAACTGATCTCAGGTATTCCAGAAGAGCAGCAGTGCTTTTAGCTACTTAGGTATTTCCCCAGCCACTCTATTATTATTTTGAACTATGTGCTACTGAGGACATAATCTACAGTGGTTCCAATTTAAATTGGAAGTTTGCTCACATAATGACTTTGAGAGGTATCATTTACTGATGAACAGAAATGTTAATTGCATGTATAATTTATTTTAGCATTACCATATATTACCTACACACACACACACACACACACACACATACATGCATGCATATTATGTCCTGTATATATCATAGGACATTTTCAAGGGCATTTGTAAAAGAAAATGTCTTTATTTGAGTTTTAAATTAATATATATTTCCAATATATTAATCCACATGTGCTATATATATACAAATGCAATTCATAAGCATAAAATATATGTGTGTGTGGCATCATTACATATATATATGTCACTATAATGAATACAAAGTTATGAGCTTATTAGATTTGAATAAATTCAATTTAAATTTGTAAATATGCAATCATTCCCTTTTGAAATATTAA